ATGAAATAAAACAGACAAATAGTGTTGATAAATGATCATTTTTAATATAAGGAACACTAAAATTTAGTATTTAGACGTCTAAGAGAAGGGTTACTCAGGAAAATAACCAATGGTGTAGTTTTCTTGCAAAGGCAGCCAAAATAGAAGCGAAGGTAGAGGTCAGAGGAGCCTGCCTTGGGGGAAAAGGCTACTCCCCAGCCATCAGTAATGAGTTGGCAGTGCCCGCCTCCTCTCTGGCCGCTTAGCAAGCAGCTGAGTAAACCTCAGGGCGGTTTTCCGGTTTTCCCGTCAGCACCTCCCTCTGGTCTTGTCTGGCCTGAGTCAAGGCCTCTTCTCCGCCCCCTCGAATTTCTTCCACTCTCTATTCACTTCCTATTCAGTGTGTGCCAGTCACTAGGGACAAGGAAAGAAAACCAAGTCCTTGTCCTTGAGTAACTCAGCTACGTCAGTGACTAGAGCCCAGTGGAACTAAACAACTGGGGTTACAATGGGAGCAGGGCAGTGAGAGGACAGATGATCTGGGAGTCTCCTGCCTGGAAGCTGCCAAGTGTGGCTGAGGAACCCCCCTAAACTGGATGGACCGGTTGAGAGCATGGCAGGGCCCAACCCTCCTCCCTCTGAGCAGTTGTTCGGTGTTAGCAACCGGTGTTGCTTTCACGAAGCTGCCTTTCTTTCACTTTCTCCTCTGACGATTGAACCTGCTAACGGGGGGGGGGGGGGGGGGGGGGGGGGGGTGGACACGACACGCCTTGAGTCCCAGCACTCGGGAGGCAGAAGCAGGCAGATTTCTGTGAGTTCAAGGCCAGCCTGTATAGCCAAGGGCGTGTACAGAGGCCCCGTCTCCACCTCCGACTCCTCCCAAATAATAGTACCGCCTCTTAGCCACAGGACTATTTCTCCAGCCCTAACTTTAATTTTTATTGGATTTATTTTGTGGAGCTGTTTGCACATGACATGGCATGTGCTGAGGTCAGAGGGCAACTTTTGGGTCTTTGGGGGATTGGTTCTCAGTTGTCAAACTTTAGTTTGTCGCCTTGCTGTCCCTCTCCACCACTTTTATTTATTGAGACAAAGTCTGTATACAGTCCTGGCCATCCTGGAACTCTCTGTAGATCAGGCTCGCCTCGAACACACACATTCGCCTGCCTCTGCTTCCCGAGTACTGAGATTAAAGACATGTGCTGCCATGTCCCACTTTGCAGCCATAAATCATAATTTCTTATTATTTATAATAATAAACTTATAGGAGCCAGGCATGATGGCACATTGTCTATAATGCGGGTACTCAAGAGGCTGAGGCAGAAGGATTGCTATAAATGTAAGGCCAACCTAAGCTATATAGTGAGTTTTTAAAAGGCCTAAACTACACTCTAAGACCCTGTCTCAAAAAACCAACAAAAAAGAATAAACTCATAAGAACTGGGTATGTCTCGATGGTAGAGTGCTTTTCCTAGCATGTATAAGACCCTGGGTTCCATCCTTAGCCATACATTCACACACACACACGCACACACACACAAATAAGTAAGCTTATAAATAATGGGGGCGTGGGTGGGGAGGAGGTGTCATTCCAGCCAGATGGTGGTGGCACACACCTTTAATCCCAGGACTACCAGGACTAGAGAGGCAGAGGCAGGTGTACCTCTGTAAGTTTGAGGTTACCCTGGTCTACAGAGCTAGTTCCAGGACAGCCAGGGACACACAGAGAAACCCTAAAACTAAAAACCAAAAAAAAAAAAAGTTCATTCCATTTTGGGTCTTTTTCTTCAGGCTCAGATTTAATTTTTTATGGCTGTTTTGAATTTGTATGGTGCTGGTGATTAAATCCAAACCCTGACCTGTGTTCAGCTCCTGGTTTCTTTGCAATTAAAGACAGAATGGAGAATATTCAGAGGGCACCTGAGTCTTTTTTGATTGGTTGGCTTTGGTTTTTCCTTTTTTTATTTATTCTGTATACAGTGTTCTGCCTGCATGCCACAAGAGGGCGCCGTATCTCATTATAGATGACTATGAGCCACCAGGTGATTGCTAGGCATTGAACTCGGTACCTCTGGAAGAGCAGCCAGTGTTCTTAACCTCTGAGCCATCTCTCCAGTGCTGGCTTTGGTTTTTCAAGACAGGGTTTTTCTGTACAGCCCTGGCTATTCTGAAATTTGATTTGTAGATCAAGGTGGCCTCGAATTTAGAGATCCATCTGCCTCTGCTTTTTTTTCCCACAACTTCTGGGATTAAAAGTGTGGGCAACTAACTACACCCTGCTTGCTTGTTCCTGAAGCTCCAGGACCCCTTTAATTAGAATTTGAGAAGAAGCCATGCGGCAATGGCACAGGCCTTTAATCCCAGCATTTGAAAGGCAGAGACAGGCAGATCTCTGTGAATTTGAGGCCAGCCTGGTCTACAGACTGAGTGCCAGGACAGGCTCCAAAAGCTTCAAAGAAACCTATCTCAAAAAAAAAGAAAGAAAAAGAAAAAGAATTTGAGAAGAAACACACACACACACACACATAGCAAGCTGTAAAGTTTGACAGCTACTAAGAAAAGATAGAGATTTACTTATGTATGTAGATAGGGTCCCACTTTATTGCCCTGGCCGGCCTGGAATTTCCTATGTATCCCAGGTTGGCTTCAAATCATAGGACTCTTCCTGCTTCAGTCTCCTTATTGCTGTGACTACGGCCCTACTATGGCCCTATGTTCTTCTATTCTTTTTCTTTTCTCCTTTGTTATTCTTTTGCAGATGGGAAAAGGAGAGCAAGAATCTCTTTGCTAAGCCTTCCTCTAGCATTGTTTAGAAACGTAGAGATGAGATTTGCCTATTCCATCATCGAGACAGAGTCGATCCCTATGCAAAGGTTGACAACTTTGTACTTGATGCCAGGTGGTGGCGGCACACGCCTTTCCTCTCAGCACTGGGGAGGCAGAGACAGGCTGATCTCTGTGAGTGAGTCTACAGAGTGAGTTCCGGGACAGGCTCCAAAGCTGCAAAGAAACCCTGTCTGGAGAAACAGCACAAGCTATCTGATGGTGACTATATAGGCGGCACCGCTAGTGTGCTGGGTGTTGATCTGCGGAAACTATCACCTCCATGGCTCTGAGCCTTTGCTCTTTCTCCGTCAGTGCTGATAATGCACACAGCACCGAACACTCCATGAGCTGTCTCGCATTGCTGATGGCCATGACAAGCTAGCTGCTCTGCTGGGAGAATTGAAGCTAAAGGACTTAGGAGAAACTCCAGAGCTGAAGGCAGTGTGTGCTGGGTACTGGTGAGACAGTGAAGGATGGCTTGGATGTTTATGAAGTTCTCAGGCCTTGCACGTTAAGAACTAGTCCCCAGCAGGCATACACAAGGTAGTTTTGAGAATAACTTAGCACTGATAAAAGGAATCTTTAACTTTTTATGATATCCACAGAGAGTATCTTTACTTTTCAGTTTTGTTGTATATCAATATTTCTTCAAATAAGGCCTTATATATAACCTAGGCTGGCCCACAGCTCACCATCCTCCTACCTCTTGAGCAGCATAGGTATACACAACTATGCCCAACTTCTGTTTTATTTACATAGAACATGTGTGGAGGTTCATGCTTTCCACCTTTTTGAGGCAGAGGTGTTGATCTTCCAGGTAGGTGTCCACTGCATCCAAGGCCCCCCCCCCCCAGACAGGGTTTCTCTGTAGCTTTGGAGCCTGTCCTGGAACTCACTCTGTAGATCAGGCTGGCCTCGAACTCACAGAGATCTGTCTACCTTTGCCTCCCAAGTGCTGGGATTAAAGGCATGCACTCCCACAGCCCGGCCACTTTCTTTTCTTTGAGACAGGTCTCTCTATTCTGAAAGTCTTGTGAGAAGACTACGAGGAGATGCAAGCAGTTTAGTGACCCCAGAGCTTACTCCTGTGATTCAGTCCCAATTTCCCTCACTCTACCATCTGGCCTGCGAAATATACACCCGGGAAAATCTCCCCGACACCGAATCGTGGAGTCCTCTGAACCTCATTATTTCTCTGAAGTAGTCTTGGCTGTCCGGGAATTAGCTGTGTAGATCAGGCTGGCCTTGAACTCACAGAGATATTCCTGTTTTTTGCCTCCCAGGTGCTACGTTAAAGGTGTTGGCCACTGTGGCCCGTGCTTTCGCGTTTCAGGACTGAGTTGTCAGGGTTCCATGGCTAGTGCTTTTCTTTCTTTTTTTTAAAAAAAAATAATTTTATGAATGAGTGCTCTGCATGTACACCTGTGTGCCAGAAGAGGGCATCAGATCCCGTTTGTAGACGGTCAGGAGCCACCATATGGGTGCTGGGAATTGAACTCAGGATCTCTTGAAGAGCATCCAGTCCTCGTAACCGCTGAGCTGTCTCTCCAGCCCCATAGTCAGTGTTTTTATCCACTAACCATTTCCCTGGTTATATGGGAAAAGACATAGGTATATGTCTTTTATCAATTAATTTTTTTTTTTTTAGTTCTTCTGGTTGTGTCAGTGTGTTTCTACAAAGGGAATATGTAGACGTAAATCGTGAATGCAGACGCCTGTGGAAGCCAGAGGCATCTTTTTCCCTGGAGCTGGAGTTACAGGCGTCTGGCAGGCGCTTAACAAGGGTGCTGGGAACGAATTTACAGAACCGCGGAGCGATCACTTCTGCTCCCTCCCTCTTCCCACACGCCCGCCGCTCACCACCTTGAAGGCGCACTCCCAACCCTAAGCCCCGCCCCTCGCGTTAAACTTCCTCCCAAAGAAGGGCGGAAGTAGCTGCGCTCGAAAGTGACAGCAGCCCTTTCCCCGCCCTCCTTAGCGTTGGCCCCGCCTACTCCATTTCCCGGGTTTCGCTAAGGGCTTTTACTTTGACACCTCTCAAAGCCATCTACCCCAGCCACGAAAGGAGTGCCCCCAGGACCCTGACAGTCGCCTAGGAGAACATATCCACTAAAGCAGATATATATATGAGAATTATGTTTCGTGTAATTCCCGCGCGCGTTCCCACGGCCCATGGGAGCGCGGAGGCGGGGATAGGAGAGACAAGAGGCGTCACCGCCTAAGCTCCACCTCTAGCTGCGTCTTCTAATCGCGTTTTTCCGGTCGGGGCTTCCTCTTCGCCTTTCCTCCGCCATCGTGCGCTGTCTGTCCCCCTCGCCTTCTCGCCATGGTAAGATTATCGGCCTCCATCCCTTTGTAGGCAGCATCCCTGAGACCGCAGGCTGCCATGACTTTACGATAGCATTGCACAGCATCGAGGGGCGGGTGCATTTTCAGCTTTGGAGCTTTTGTGGGAGTTAGTTTGGCCATCGCTCAGATCGCGGGCACAGCAAACAATTAGCCAGCCCATTTCTCCCCCATCGTGTCGGGTTCATTGTGCAGTCTGGCGAGCAGTACAAACTATTCTTGCGTCGCTTAGCTTCGAGCCGACGATTCTTGGCAAAAGGAGAGGGTTGGGGCCACGCGTAGATTTCGGCTGATTGAACCCTAGCTTTGCCTTGGCGTGCACAGAGAGCACAGAGTCGGGGAGGGGCCTTGCACAGGCAGCTGTCCGCAGTAAGAGTTAATGGGACTTAACGAGAGCCTTCAGAAGCTCTGCATCACTCCGTGGAAGCGTCTGCTAACAGCACACCAGTCGTTGCCTACTGACAGATTGTTGGCGTCTAGGTTCAAAGTGGGATTCGTAGCTGCATTTATTCAGGAAAATCTAGAACTTCTACAGTGGTTCAGGAGGAGTGCACACTGCCTTTTCAACGCCAGTAGGCGAGTGCTCCATAATCTAGATTACCCGGACAGCGTCCCTTGAAAGTAGAGAATACTGTTTTCAAAAGTAGAGCGCCTAGATTTACTGACTTAAATGTTTGTATTGGACGGGATTGACCCAACGCCATCTTAGTTGCAGTAAATTAGTTCTTCCTACCTTAGTTATTCTATATTTGACATCTGAAGCACGGCAGGATAAACAGTAAATTAGCACGATTTTCGAGCAGACCGGACATGGGCCTAAAACCTTACTCTGTAGCTGGGCGGTGGTGGCGCACACCTTTAATCCCAGCATTCGGGAGGCAGATCTCTGAGTTTGAGGCCAGCCTGGTTTACAGAGCGAGTTCCAGACTCCAAAGCTACAGAGAAACCCTGTCTTGAAAAATCAAAAGAAAAAAAAACCCGACTCTGTAATTATCACTCTTGATCTAAGACAATTGAGTTTAAGCCATGAACTCTGACTTCAGAGAAATAATGAGGTTCAGAGGACTCCACGATTCGGTGTCGGGGAGATTTTCCCGGGTGCCTATTTCGCAGGCCAGATGGTAGAGTGAGGGAAATTGGGACTGAATCACAGGAGTAAGCTCTGGGGTCACTAAACTGCATCTCCTTGTAGTCTTCGCACAAGACTTTCAGAATCAAGCGGTTCTTGGCCAAGAAACAAAAGCAAAATCGTCCTATTCCTCAGTGGATTCGGATGAAAACTGGCAACAAAATCAGGTAAGCCCCCACTGCCCTTTGTGTGGATTCGCAGTGACAGCCGTTCTCTGCTTACCATGCTGCGACTCCTTTTGTGTGTGTGGAGGGGTACACTGTCAGAATTTAGAAAAGGCGGCACACGAGAGAAAGACGCCCTGGGACAGTTCACGTGAAGGCGTTTTTTATAGGGAAAGGGGAACATAAAGGGAGAACGACCTCTGGGGACAGGAGTGGCGGAAGAAAAGAGATATTCTGAGACAAAAAGAAGGGAGGCGGGCAAGGGAAGGTACTGAATGTGCGCGGGGGTGCACTTAGTGGCTACAGGCTGACGACGAATTCCAAGGTCAGGCCAATACAGACGCCTGAATAACGTGCACGTGACTGGAGACAGCTTTCAGGAATCACTTTCCATTCACCAAATGAATCCTGGGAATCCAACTCAGGTCATTGGGCTCCAAGGAAGTGGCTTTGCCTACTTAATCTCGGAGAGCTCCTGAAATCCTCCCACAAACTTTTTTTTAAATGTTGGGAGGGAGGAGAAATAGGCATGAGAAGTCCTGACAGTTGGCCAGGCAGCCAGTAGCAGTTCTGATAGTTAATGTGTATATTGCTTTAATCATTTGTGTGTGGGATGCATGCCCGCATGTGGTCAGAGGCTGGTTTGTGGGAGTTGGTTCTCTTTGACCACGTGGGTTCTAGTGACTGAATTCAGTTCTTCAACCTTGATAGTAAGCTTTCTCGCCTGACTACTGGTTTGGTGGGTTGTGATCAGACGGGTCTCCTGATAGTCCAGACTGCCTGGGAGCAAATTTGGGAGTGGTGATTTTTGTAGATTTGTTTAGAGATTGCAGAGTCGGGACTGGGTTTCAAACCTATAGTCTTGCCCCCCATGTGATGCTAAGGAGAGCTTTTAAGGTTCTGGGCAAGCTGTTGATTTACTTACTGATGGGATCTGTGTTTTGCTTTTTGCAGCAGTCTTGTGTAGCCTGAGCCTAGCCATCTTCTTCTACCTCTCAAGTGCTGAGGTTACAGGTGTGAGCCAACACATACTGTAAATACATGAGCCTGTTTCCTAGAGCCCTGGCTGATGAGAGTAGAGACTACTAGTCCACCTGTGGGTTAGCTATATCCTAGAGTTGTGACGGTGTTTTGTTGGGTGAATTATGTACCCTAACCCACAGAGTTCTCTATTTCTGGCTGGCGTTTATGGGTACTGTGGGTTTGAGCGCGGGCCACCTGCATACTGTCCTGAGCAAGTTCTCTGCCTGGAACTGTAACCCCCAGCCCCTCTCCCAACTTTGAAAACGTAAAGCAGGTCGCAATTACAGTGCTTCGTTTTGTAGGAGTACTGCCATTATCCTGCTGAAAGAAAAGCTATGTTGAGTGTTTCTGATTTTACCTTACTGGGAGTAAAATCAAGACACCTTGACACGAACAGCAAATTATGTGCAACTTGGGAGATGCTTTCTACTACCTGAAGGAGCTCTGGGGGTGAATTCTGGTTGCCAGGTTTGCACGGTAACCACCTTTCCCCAAGGAGCCATCTTGTTAGCTTTTGGGGAGCCTTTGTGTGTGGTCCACAGGAGGGGTTCAGACTATGTCTGCATCTACCCTGTCTAGATCTGTGGATCAAAAGGAAGGGGCTTTGGGGAAGCTTTTCTACTTCTCCCATTCCACTAAGAATCACATTATCTGACCCTGCACCGCAATGCGGGTATTGGACCTGGAGTTTCCCAAATGCTTGGTTTAAGGCAGGGTCTCAGTAGACTGCCTGCCCTTGCACTCCGCTGTCCAACCCATATGGGCTTTGAATTTTCAACCCCTCCTACCTCAGCATCCAGAGAGAAGGTAGCATTGGCAAAGCTTGTTCTGCTTTGAATCCTTGGTTTGACTTTACAGTTTTTGTGGTGTCCTGCCCCCCCCCCTTTTAAAATGGGTTGCCCCAGCCCCTCAATTCCTGGATTGACTAAACCCAGGGCCCTGCACACGTGTAACATTTATTTTGAAGATGGCCTTGGCTATGTTGGCCTGGAACTCTCTCTAGTAAGCTTCTTAGTAAATGGACCAAATATGAGCGGCTATATTGTGACCGTACCACCTTGTAACTCTTGTCTTCATTCTCTGCAGGTACAACTCCAAGAGAAGACACTGGAGGAGAACGAAGCTGGGTCTGTAAGGAGTCAACAATGGCAAGACAGTTTACGCTGAATCGTGGTCCTGGATGAGCGTTATCAGATGGAGTTCAACATTTTCAACCCTGATCATGTTTAAGTTGGGAGTGGGTTCTCCAGTAATAAATTGTGGAGCCTTTCAAACTGCTGTTCTGGTTTGTAAAGTTCTGAATTTCCCTTTCCCCTGCCAGACCCAATAAGATAAACTTCTGCGGTGCATGTGGAGAGTTGTTCCCTGGGAGCTAGAGCTTGGTGCGCTTGCAGAAGTCCTGGATCTGGAGCCTAGCACCCACAGCTCACCCTGTATTATATTACACCAGCTTCAGGGTGAGCCCCTCTGTGGGTGCTGACTGACGTATATATAGGCAAGTAACCATGCACATAAGTTACCGTGCACCTTGGATAAGATTGTGACTGTTCACACATGTACGTTGTGTGGAGGTAGGTCAGATGATAGCTTTAGAATTGTCTTTAGCTTGTATGTATGTTCCAGGTGTTGGATTCAGGTTGCCAGGTTTGCATAGCAGGGGCTTTACCAACACCCATCTCAATAGGCCCCCGGCTTGTTTATAGTATGCTTGAGATGGAGTCCAAGCACTTTTAGCAACTGAACTGCATCCCCAGCCCTCTAGCAGCGGTTCTTAGCCTGGGGTTGAGCCACCCTTTCACGGGGTTACATGCCAGATACTTAGTTACAATTCACAGCAGTAAAATTAGTTAGGAAGTAGCAATGAAAGTAGCTTTGTGGTTGGGGATCATGTGAACTGTGTTAGAGGGTCACACCATTAGGGAGGTTGAGAACTGCTGGTCTGTGGGGTTTTTTACTTCTTAAACATTAGATTTATGTGCATGAATGTTCTACAGATGGTTGCGAGCCACATTGTGGGTGCAGAGAGTTGAAACCAGGTCTCTAAGAGCTAGTTAGTGTTCACTGCTGAGCCATCTCTTCCAGATCCTGTCGGCTAATTTTTGGTGCTTGGCAGTAGGACTCCTAGAAGCTGCGGCCTGCAAGATAGCCCAGGCTGGCCTTAGTCCACCTAGGTGTTGGGATCACAGGTGTGAATCACCACACCCACAAGCCTTTCTTTAGTCAGGGTCTCCCAACTGCTTTTGCATATTTAAGCATTTGGAAGCCATGAAAAGAATATCTGAAAATTCAAATAAAGTGATATTTTTATAAACGAACCAACCTCTGCTGGGTTCACGTTCATGTTTGCTTAGAGGTGCTTATTGACATTGCCTGACTTAACTACACAGCTGCCAGTAAAATACCTGTTGGTCATGGTGGCAGTGTTTTGGTGGGGATTATTTTGCTTTGTTTTTGGTCCCAGGGTCATCTTGAACTCCTGAAGCAACCCAGAGAACTAGAAACTCCGAATCTTTGGCTCATGTCTCTCTTAACTCCGTCAACATGGGGCTAGGGTGTAGATAGAACACTGGCCTAGCATGTGTGTAGTCCTGGGTTCTCGCTAGCGCAGCAGAGGTAATCCTCAGGGCTGTCATGGACGGCAGTTCTTTTAAATCCACAGCAGAGAGACTCGATAGAATTATGGTAATCACGTGAAAAAATGTTAAGCAATCTGATGTGTGTAAATTTTCAGGGTTAGATGGCTCATTGCTTAAGAACACTTTGAAGGACCAGTTTGACTCCCAGCACCCACATCAGGTGCCTCACAACCATCTGTAACTAGCTCTAGAGGATCCAGTGACTCTACCCTTTCAGGGTACCTACAAATTATGCACACAGACACACACATAGATAATTTAAAGATAATATGCATTTATAGCTAGGTATGGTGGTGGTACATGCCTTTAACCTCAGCATTCTAGATACAGGTGTGTGTGTCTGAATTTAAGACCAGCCTATATAGATCTGCCTTTTCATAGTCATTTCCAGGACAGCCAGCACTACATAGATCCTGTTTTCCAAAAAAAAAATAATAATAATCACTATTTAAGAAATTTTTCAGTGGAAGTTGGGATAGCATCCTGACAAGGCCAAGATGACACTAAAGGTATATCAGCCTTCTCTTGGGACCAAGGTAGGATAATAGAAATGGAAGGTGTTATGGTGGTATAATACTGCCTAGCCATTGACCTGGAAAAGGCAGCAGCAGGATAGTAGTTGAGATTAACTGTGGGTTCAAAACCAGCAGTAAGCCTCAGTGGAACAGTTTGCAAACTGGAGCCTCCCCTGCATGAGGCAGAAAACTGCTCAAAAGTGCTAGGTTTAGCTGTAGGAGTTCTGTTTATCAAGACGGGGTTTCTCTGTAGACCAGGCTGGCTTCGAACTCAGAGATCTGCCTGGCTCTGCCTTTCCAGTGCTGGGATTAAAGGTGTGTGTCACCACCACCTAGGAGGATTTTTTTTTTCAGTGCTGTGTAGCACTGGCTGGATTGGAACTCTGTAGATCAGGATGACCTCAAACTCAAAAGATTTACCCGCCTCTGCCTTCTGAGTGCTGGAAGTATGTCACCCAATCGGTTGTAGAATGTCTTAGGGACAGAGCGGGGTGAAAACATAGGGTTTTAATTCCCTCCCCCAGCAGTATATGTTACATGCTGGGTACATTGTAACTACCCATACTGGAGATTGTGGTAAGAGGGGTGTGCTGTGATGGGAGCCAGTTCAAGAAATGAGAAGGTGTTGGGCCCTTCCTGTTCCAGGGTTCTAACCCAAAGAAGGCAGGATGACGTGAGAAAATTCCTGGGTGCTGAAGTCAACTGGGCTTGGGTCCCAGCTCTGTCTCTGAACCGGTTGTGGAAATTTGCCCTCAGGAAAGAGTCCCCTGGGTGTGGTGCTGCCCGGGTGCTCCTAAGACCTGAGAGGCTGAGTTAGGATTGCCATCAGCTCTAGGGCAGCCTGCACTAGAAAATGAGGGCCAGGTCGGTGGGTTGCCCTAGCACGTGAGTGAAGCCTTGGCTTCAGTCGCCAGCACCACAGACAGCCGGAGTGGTGGTGCACATTTGTAGTCCCAGCATTTGGGAGGCAGAAGCAGAAAAATCAGTTCAAGACCAGCCTGAGCTACAGGATAAACAGGTTGGTACATTTTTTTTTTTTACAAATCTATGTAGAAGACCAATTCTTTCATTAAAAAAATTAAAAATTGAAGTTATATGTATGTGTGTGTGCACTATGTATTCCTGGTGAGCTCGAGACCCAAAAGGAGCGTCAGATGCCCTGAAACTGGAGTTAAAGGTGGTGAGGGTGCTGGGAACTGAACTTGGATACTCTGTAAAAGCACCAAGAACTTAATCACCGAGCCACTCCAGTGCCTACTTTTACTTTTAACTCTGCATATGTGTGTGTCTCTGCACATGAGTGCAGTGTTCAAGGATAACAGAAGAGGTTAGGCCTAGTAATGGCACAGCCTTTAAGACCGGCACTGGGGAAGCAGAGGCAGGCGGAGTTTGAGGCCAGCCTGGTCTACAGAGAGAATTGCAGGACATCTAGGGCTGTTACACAGAGACACCCTGTCTCAGAAAAAAAAAATGGGGTGAGGTGGGGGGTGTTGGATCCCCTGAAGCTGGAGTTACAGGTGTTTTGAGCCATCTGATAGTGCTGGGAACTGAACTCGTCCTCTGTAAGAAGAGAATGCTCTCATTAACTGCTAAGCCATCTGTCCAGTTCCTATGCAGGGCCAATACTAACAGCCAAGTCTCCCATTTTACAGATGAGAAAAAAAGTTAAACTTGATTCCTTTTTTTTTTTTTAAACTGGGCTTAACGGCACATGACGCCGAGCCCAGTCTAGTTATTTATTTATGATTAAGACAGGGTCTTACACTGTAACCCAAGCTGTTCCAGAAACTCACGACAATCCTGCCTCAGTTTTTCTTTTTCTTTTCTGAAATAATTATTAAGTATACAGTGGTTTTCCTGCATGTATGCCTGCAGGCCAGAAGAGGGCACGAGATCTCATTTCAGGTGGTTGTGAGCCACCATGTGGTTGCTGGGAATTGAACTCCGGTCGTTTGGAAGAGCAGGCAGTGCTCTTAACCACTGATCCATCTCTCCAGCCCTAAACTTTATTCTTGCTAATGACAATTAGGTGATTTTTTTGTGGGGGGGGACAGGGTCTCATGTATCCCGAGGTGGCTCAGAACTCACTATGTAGAAAAGAGTGGCCTTGCCAGGCAGTGGTGGCACACACCTTTAATCCTAGCACTCGGGAGGTACAGGCAGGCAGATCTCAGTGAGTTTGAGGCCAGCCTGAGTGAGTTCTAGTCTCGAAACCCTGCCCCCCCCCAAAAAAGGAAAGAATGGCCTTGACCCCCTGTCCCTTATGCCTGCACCTTCTAAGAGCTGGGATCACAGGCATGCGCCGCCCTGCCGGGTTTTCAACTATAAGTGCTTGGACCACGCTAGGTAGCAGTTAGAAAGGCTCAGTTTAATAAAAAATACATTTTGTAAATTCGTGGAGATACTGAGTGTGGTATTATTTATACTTCTGCCTGACAGTGACAGCTCACACCTTTAACCCCAGCACTGGGGAGGCAGAGGCAAGCATATCTCTGTGAGTTCAAGGCCAGCCTGGTCTACAGAATAAGTTCCAGGACAGCTTGGGCTACACAGAGAAACCCTGTCTCAAAAAAAAAAAAATCTAACAAGCATCAAGCCCCTAGCTACACAATAGTGGAATAGTGGGGAAACAGCCTCAAGTGTGATCTGCAAGGGTACCACAGGGCTCTGTTTGGGTGAGAGAAATGAGGTAGTCAACCAAGTCAGCCCATGAGGGATGGCTTTGTCCCTAGGGACTTTTGACAATGTCTGGAGACAGTTCTGGGTGTAACTATGAGGGCAGTTGCCACTAAAAGTGTCCACCAGGAATGCTTTTGAACATGCTATGGCTTGCAGGGGTCAGTCCTCCGCAACAGAATTATCCTGCCCCAAATACCAACAATGCCAGTGCCGAGAAAAGCTGGTCCCACAGCCCTACCCTGCCAGGCAGAGTGAGCTCTGCCAGACAACTCTCACCCCCTGCCTCTGCTCCTTTCACAGTGCTCTCGGGACAAAGCTCATTCCCTGAAATGTTTCAAAAGGAGTACAGCATGTTTCCAATCTCCTCTATTTACCAAGCTGAGTTCAGCCACATGGGTCTGCCCCTCACAGTACCAGGTGCCCTTCCCTACTGGGAATGCTGTTCCTCTTTCTAACCCTAGACTGTTCTTCAAGTGGCGGTTTACTGTATTTGGCCACAGGGAGACTCCCTGAAGTTCCCATCTCCTCCCAGTCCAAGGTAGGCTTACCTCTTCAACCAGCTTCTGGAATTTTTTACCTCCCAGCTATAACTGTAAACTTGCACATGTGGTTGATTCATTGATGACTGCCTTTTTCACCCGATTATGCACTCTGCAGGATCGACAAAAGGGACGACTTGCACACTGATCTTTGTCTTCACATAGCAGCAACTAGTAGAAAATTTACTCAGTTGATTGAATAAGCAGATGAGTGAATGGGAGTGTGTGAATAAAGAGATGAGCTTGCAAATAAGCCATAGTATAAAATGTGCACATTAATGCATATGTGTACATAATATAAAATGTGCACATTAATGCATATGTGTACATAATATAAAATGAGTGCACTAATGCTTTTATGTTCACAGTGAATGAAGTAGCAATCACTTTTGTTTCTTTGAGACAAGGTCTTGCTACATCACCCAGCCTTGTCTCAAGGTCTAGGATCCTCCTGAGTCAGTGCCCTAGTAACAGTAGCTGGTATCACAATGCAACACCACCATGCCTGGTTGAAGTCTATGAATAGAGCAGACGTGATCATTATTGGACATATCATTTGCTCAAAATGTGTGTGTGTGTGTATAAAATAACATGATTTAGCTTTCATTTTTATATTTCCCAGGCTATATAGACATGGTGACATTGTGCTTTATTACAAATCATGTGTTTGTGTGTATGAAACATGTGCTGATGCCTGTGGATGCCAGAAGAGAGTGCCAGATCCCTTAGAGCTGTAGTTTGTAAGCCGACTCATGTGGATGCTGAGAAATGAACTTGGGTCCACTAGAATGTGGATGCTCAGAAACGAACTTGGGTCCTCTAGACTGTGGACGCTGACAAACAAACCTGGAGCCACAAACATTCTTTTTTAATTTTTATTTTTATCTTTTTGAGACAGGATCTTTCTATGTGGTCCTGTTGTCCTGGATCTTCATATATGGGCCAAGTTGGCCTTGAATTCACAGACATTCTACTGGCTTTGCCTCCTGAGTGATAGAATTAAATATTCACATGACCACACCTTGCTTGTTGTACTCTTGAATTCAAAGCAGCCGTAATTGCTTACTTATACAGGACTAGCACAAGATTGGGCCTATCGATAATCCATTGTGGAACAGGGATGGAGGGGAATCTCACGAGGCCCAATCTCTCCCTGAGTAGTTAAAGGTTGCTGGGGGAAGGAGAGACTTTTTTCGGTGGTGTATCCACTGGTGAGTTGCCTGTAAGTAACCCTAATTAAACTCATTGAATCACCAATAAAAAAATTAACAAAAGAACATGTAGCAGAGGAAGGGGGTCAGCGGGAGGGGAAGGGGAATGAGAAGGTAGCAAGGGCGAATATGATCCAAATGCATTACACACATGTCAGAATGAAATCCATTATCATGTAGAATTGCTATATGCCAACAGGAAGTTTTTAAAGAGTGTTGGAGAGATGACTCGCCATTTAGAGGACTTACCGCTCTTTCTTTTCAGAGGATCCGAGTTCAGTTCCCAACACCCACTGCAGGTGGCTCATGACCACCTGCAACTCCAGATCTCAGAGATCCAACACTGTCTTCTGGTTTCAGCCAGTGCCTGCATACATTCCATGTGCAGAAACTCATGCAGATACACACACATGCTCATAATTAAAAATAAACCTTTAAGGAAAAAGGTTGTTTCATGGGACCAAAGGGCAAGATTGAGCTAGGCTTTTGAAGAAGCACAGGTAGGCCATTGACAAGTCCGACAGAACTTGCTCACTCTCTTTAGGCCCGTCCCCTACAGTTCCTTTCTGCATGTCTGCTTCACTCTTGTTCCTCCTGGCAGATCTACTTCCTCTGCTCCTCCCAGCACAAGACCAAATATGAACTCCTCTCTGGCCTCAGGTCACGCATGAAGTAGAAATAGACGGAAATCACTAAATTCCAACAGCAAGATTTTGAGAGGAAAAAGCCCATTGGCTCAAGTTAAGAGTTCATTTCAAGTGGGGTGAAGATTCAATGGGCTGTGACTGAAGGACCAGGCAAGTGTAAACGTGGCTGTAAATAGCCTGGCTCAGGCTGAACAGGGGGGGCAAGGGCAGCTGCTGCAAGAGCCTTGTGTGTCGGCCATGCGTTGCCAGGAGAGATGGCCTCCCTCTCTGGTCCTTTGCCATTGGCTGTTTGCTTTCTGTTTGCTTCGTGCTTTCTACAGTCATTTATGTTGCCCCCCCTGTTTTAAATTTAAGTCTGTCTGGGTATTTTAGAGATCCCTAAGGATGCTGCCATGTGGGAAAGATGCCATATAAAATAAAAGGAATAAATCTTAACACAATAGGTTATGGACTGTTGTTGTTTTTCAAGACAGGACTTCTCTGTGTAACCACCTTGTAGACCAGGCTGGTCTTGAACTCATGGAGATCCACCTGCCTCTGCCTCCCGAGTGCTGGAATTAAAGGCATGCGCCAGCACCACCACCATCTGGCAGACTATTTTTTATTACCTTGATTTATTTCATGATGATGTGTCTCTCTCTTACACACACACACACACACACACACACACACACACACACACACACACACACGGAGGCCAGAGGAAGCCTGCAGGAGTTGGTTTCTGGCATGTGGCTATCAGGGATCAAAATGTCGCCGGGCTTGGCAGCAAGTGCTTTATCTGCTGAGTCATCTTTGATTTGGGCTTGTGGAGAGTAAGAGCCGAACCTGATGTGGTGATACAAGCCTGCAGCCCCAGCGCTTGGGAGGTTAAGGCCAGAGGAAGAGGGTGAAGCGTTCAAGGTCAGCTCTAGCTACATTCATAGAAAGAAAGATATATAAAAAAGAAAAGAAACAAAGGAAAAAGGGGTGGGCGCTGGAATCGCATGTTACCTCTGCCAAGAAACTCAGAATGAGTTTCGAGTTGTCATCTTGATCTGCTGCCTCCAGAGGGAGCCTTTGGCACTCCATTATGCTTTGGCCTCACACCTGTTTCTCAGCTTTCTGAGACTTGTATTTTGATAGAGTCTAAAAAGCACTGTGTGTGTGTGTGTGTTTGTAAAAATATTTCCTATTGTGAGACATGGTGACTCACGCCTTTAATCCCAGCACTCAGGAGGCAAAGGCAAGTGGATCTCTGAGTTCAAGACCAGCCAGGTCAACATGGTAAGTCCTAGGCCAACCAGAGTTGCCCAATGAGAGAGACCTTGTCTCAAAGTTTTACCTGTTGTTATTAATTTGTTGCTGATTCATGATATTAAAATATAAACCAGAGCTATAGGTGGGGCATGATTTCAGTCCTCAGTACAACGCACAAATAAAATAAATAACCAGGGGTGGGGAGAGGGCTGAGGAAGAAAAGCACTCACTGCAGCCGCATGAGTGCCAGATGAGTGTGGTTGTGTCTGCCTATAATCTTTAGGAGATGGGGGCAGGAGGATCAGGAGTTCAAAGCCATCCACAGCTACATACTGAGGCCAACCTGGTCTACATGAGATACTGATTCAAAAGAATAAAATATAACAAGCCAGTGCCCGGCCAATCAGTAAGTGTTACTCTTTGGTCTTTAGGAGTTCCTACAAAGTGGTAAGCAATCATTTTCTGATTGGATTTGAGGCTGGCACCACAGGAAGAAATTGTGCCAAATAATGTAAATCTGTTCCAAAGTCCATAGCTGGGGAAGTTATTGGTCCTAATGGGGAGGCAGACTAAATGGTGCTTTGCTAAAAGGGCATCGTATCAAACTGCCTCCTAAACATGTATGTTTCTAGTCATAGATAAATGCTGCGCCCAGCCTTGGTCTGTAATGGGCAATACAGAGACTGAACTGATCAAAGTGGCTGCGTGTTCAGCCCTAAATGGGACATTTACTAAGGCTCAGGGAAAGTTATGGAAAAGGGAAAGAAAGGCTGTAAGAACCGGAGGAGGGGAAGGAGTGCTGGGCAATGCTGTCATGGTATAGATGATGCAGCCACGAACTCGCAGCAGCAATAGGTCTCTGCAAAATCTGTAGCAGACAGGACCGGTCAACATTCCATTGTGTGTGTGTGTCGGGAGGGGGGGTTCATAGGATCACACCTCTCCCCCTGAACAGTGTAGGCAGTTAAAGGTTGTGGAGGAGTAGGGATATCCTCAGTCTTGTAGCGACTGACAAATTGCCCTTCTCAAGTAAATAACCCCCACTCATGCCAGGAAGTAACTGTAATTAAATGCAGTGGGACACACACATCCAGTAGTAGTGAAAATAAGCAGGAGATTTCTTGGGAAGAAGAGGTTCAGCAGGTGGGGGAGGGCATACAGGAGGATAGATCTATGAAACTGTAAATAACGGAGTCTTTAAAAAGAGTTCTTGTAAGCCAGGCCATGGTGGCACACACCTTTAATCCCAGCATTTGGGAGGCAGAGGCAGGCAGATCTCTGTGAGTTTGAGGCCAGCCTGGTCTACAAAGCAAGTTCCAGGACAGCCCAGGCTGTTACACAGAGAAATCCTGTCTCAAAAAATAAAAGAGTTCATGTCATGTCAGTTTTCTTCTTTCTTTTTCCATTGCTTCCGTTGCTGGGAATGAGCATCCCTGGAGGGAAGCTGTGTCTGATGGGAGAGGCTGGAAGGCTGCAGGCCCAGAGTCTAATTACACTTTATTGGGGGCCAGCTTTTGCCCCCCAAATAGCCATTCCTTGCCTACCTCTGTAGCATACCTAACAGAGAAAGACCTTTAGGAAAGTATGAACTTAGCAGGCCACTAGCTTCCACCACCCAAAAGCTAAGCTCGTCATGAATTAGCATCTGAAGCCAAGGGCAGAGGTTTCCCTCCTCTTGCTGTGACTGTTCCTCCGATGGTTCTACCAGTGTATTCTTCATTTATTACTCACTGTGTTGTTACTAAACTATGTCTACACTGAGCATTACGATTATATTTAGGGAGGCCTAAACGTGTGCTCCAGGGACCTGGCCACTCATTTGCTCCAGAATAAACCATGTCATTTATTGTTTTAAGCTGTTTCTTTTTGTTTGTTTGTTTGTTTGCTTTTTGTTTTTTCGAGACAGGGTTTCTCTGTGGCTTTGGAGCCTGTCCTGGAACTAGCTCTTGTAGACCAGGCTGGCCTCGAACTCAGAGATCCGCCTGCCTCTGCCTCCCGAGTGCTGGGATTAAAGGCGTGCGCCACCACTGCCTGGCCTTAAACTGTTTCTTTCGACAACATTCCTTTCCTCATTTCTTCCCTCATTTTATATTTTGTTGTTTTGTGTGGTTTTTTTTTGTTTGTTTTTTGAGTCCAGTCTCACTCTGTAGCCCTGGCTGGCCTTGAACTCACAGAAATCCTCCTGCCTTTGCCTCCTGAGTGCTAGGATTAAAGGCATGCGCCACCATACCTAGCCTCGTTATTTTCTCTTTTAGGAAAATTTACTATATATGTATGTGTGTGTGTGTATGTATGATATGTGAATGCTGGAACATGTGATATATGTGTGTATGCAGGAGCATGTGATGTATGTGTATGCAGGAGCATGTGATGTATGTGTATGCAGGAGCATGTGATGTATGTGTATTCAGGAGCATGTGATGTATGTGTGTATGCAGGAACATGTTGAGTGTCTTACTCTATCACTTTATGTCTTACTCATTTGAGACAGAATATCTCACTGAAACCTGGAACCCGGCTGAAGACCAATACCTCAGCATCCTCCTGTCTCTACCTATCCCACTGCTACAGTTACAGGTATGCATATGAACACCCATTGTTCTCCTTTTTACAGGGTGCTGTGATCTGAACTCAGGTAATCTTGCTTAGGGATCAAGAAGTCTTACTACTAAGCCATCTCTCCAGTCCCACATTTCTTTCTATCTTTAATACTCATATGTAATACATCATACTTATAGGTCTACATCAAAAAATGTGGTTTGTGCCCCTATTAAGTGAATTTTGCAGCTTGAAACGTATAGACCCATGTGTGGTAATATATGCCTATAATTCTAGCACCATGGCAATAACAGCAAGAGGATCAGGAATTCAAGGCCATCCTTGACTGTCAGAGCCCCATGTTGGGATGACATCTGTTGGGGTCCAGCTTTGAAGGGTTCGTATGTTCCAGGGTAGGGGCGTATGGATTAGAAAATTTCGCAGACAAAACAGATACAAAAGAAAAAGCGACACAGAATAGAGTTGGGAGGACAACCCAGTGAAACTGAATTCGGCTGTATTTATTTTCCATATGCTTATATACCCCAATTCAGGTGGGGAGAAGGCAAAAGACTGCTTTACCATGATACAAAGACAAACAGAGCAATTACCTTTTTAATACCTGAGACATCAAATAACTATATCCTGAGTTAAGTATTCCGTTGTTTAAGCAGGACATGTAGCGGTCACACCTTAGACCAAGCATCCTGTAGGCAGCCACATTCTGGTTCAAACCTCCTGTCACTTCCTTGGAGAAGCAAGAATAGACCTGAACTCTCTGACCTTTGGTCAAAATGGAATGAATCCACATCCATGGGGCCCAACCCTTGACTACATATTTAGTTCGAGATCAGCCTGAGCCACATGAGCCCTTGTCTCAGAATAACAACAAGAAAAGGAAAGCACAGGCCTGGTTAAAGAGATTAGTTCATAAATATTTATTTTAAGTACCATGATAGAGAATGCCAAGGCCAAGGCAACTATCTGGAACTCATACACCAGTACCACCATCACCACCATCATCAACCAGACAGGACTCACTCCACTTAACAGACTGGAAGGAACTCACTATGTAGTCCAGGCTGATCTGAAACTCAGCAATTTTCCTTCTTCCATGCTGGGATTGCAGGTTTGAGCCAGCTCAACTTCACATACTTTAAACTGGAAAGTGTAAGGGTGGAGGTTGGCAGAGTCTGAAACAGTCTTTGTCCCTAGTGTGCAGTATGAAGTTACATATTTTAATTTTCATAGCAATATCTATGTATATTTGCAATAGTCATATCTATATACTTACAATTTATCTTGGGACTCTCAGACTGGAACCATTCTATACAAACAAAACCTTTGTGCTTGAAGAGATAGCATTTTGCTTGCATTTTGAAGACTGCCAAAAAAACCTGTGTGTTCTTGCTGTCTATCTACTGCCTTCTGTCACAGAGAATAATGTGATCTATTTATTTACTTCTGTGTAACAAACTATCCCAAACCACAGTGGCCCTAAACAAAGACGTTTTTGGTCTTCATCATTTTTGTGGGTCAAGAACTCAGGCTGACTTTGGCTATGTGCTTTGGTTTGGGGACAGTGGGACTGCCCAGGCTGAAGAATTCACTTCCAAGATGGTTTCTTCATATACATACAGGGGCTTGATTTCCTTGACCTTTTCCATTTCTTTACACAGCCTTTGATCCTCCTAGACTTCTCTATGTGACTTCAGCTTCTTGTCCCATGGTAACTTCAGAACACCTTATTATTCAGGTGGCAACTCGCTTGACTTGAGTGTCTTAAGAGACAGGAACTGGAAGTAGCCTGTTTCTGGAGGCTTGGGCCTAGAATCTATAATTTGTGCACTGGCTAGTTTTATACCAACTTGACACACAAACTAGAATTATCTAAAAGGAGGGAAACTTAATTGTGTAAATGACTCCATAAGACTCTATAGCTGTAAGGCATTTTATTTATTAGTTATTGATGGGGGAGGGCCCATCCCATTGTGGGTGGGGTCATCCCTGGACTGGTGATCTTGGGTTCTATAAGAAAGCAGGCTGAGCAAGCCATGAAGAGCAAACCAGTAAGCATCATTCATTGGTCAGTAGCCAGGCAGAAAGTAGAAATGGGGGCAATGAAAACAGGATAATTCTGGGAAGAGGAAAGACTCAGTCTGCAGTGGTCACCCAGACTCAGAGGATGCAAGATGAGAACACCTCACTGATAAAAGATACCAAGTCACATGGCTAACACAGCCAAGAATTGTGGGTTAATGTAAGATGTAAGAATTACTTAATAAGAGCCTTAGCTAACAGGCCAACCAGTTTATAATTACTGTAGGCCTCTGTGTAGTTCTGAGCTAGTGTGGGATTATTTTGTAACTTCTGTCATCAATGAATTTGAAGCTAGCCTGGGATATCTGAGATCCTACCTTAACAAAAAGTAAAACAAGAAAATAATCAAACAAGGAAGGAAAAGACACAGGGAGGGAGGGAGAGAAATAAAAGGGGAAAGGAAAGACATTTGAGACTGAGTCCAGCTATGCCTAGCCTGCCACAAACAAGCTGCGGCCACTTTGGGATTTTCAGGTTTCTTCATTTGTTTTTGTTTGTTTGTTTGTTTGTTTGTTTGAGGCAGGGTCTCACTGTATCAGTGGGCCCCTGACTGGTAGTCCTCCTGCCTTTGCCTCCCCTGTACTTGGATTACAATTCCATGCCACTGTGCCTGGCTAGGTTTTCTTCTGTTTGACGTCCAAGCTCTAAGAAACATGAACCTGGAAGCCCCATTTGTGACCCTGACTGTGCATTTAATATTGTATTTCTTAGAAACAGGGATCCCAGCCAGGTGAGGGGATACTTCTGTCATCTCAGCACTCTGGAAGCCGAAGCAGGAGAATCCTAGTCTGGAACCAGTCTGGGTTACAGACTGAAGTGGCGGTGGGGACTGAGGGTAGGGGAAGGGGGACTGCAGGAGGGGAGGGAAAAGAAAAGTGATCCTTCTTAGGATTTACCAAAGGGATAGGACATGAGAAAGGAAGATAAAGAACTCACCACAAAATAACTATGTAACTGGATCACAAAGCCCGTGGATCTGGGTTCAAGGTCAGGCACCTCCAGCTCCTACTTTCTCTTTCCAAAAACCCCACCACAGATAACAAAGCTGAGGTTCATCTAGGCCACATCGGCTCCAGTCTGCATGGTGACAGAGGAGGTCAAAGACAGAGCCTTCTTTTTTAAAAAATATGTATTTATTTATTATGTATACAATATTCTGTCTGTGTATATGTCTGCAGGCCAGAAGAGGGCACCAGACCTCATTACAGATGGTTGTGAGCCACCATGTGGTTACTGGGAATTGAACTCAGGACCTCTGGAAGAGCAGGCAATGCTCTTAACCACTGAGCCATCTCTCCAGCCCCAAAGACAGAGCCTTCTGTTTTGAGGAAGGCACTAGGTGCTTGGGAATCCATCTTGAACGTGGAAGGGGCTGAGGAAGAGCACCCAGAACCTCGAAGACTGAAGAGGCGTTAGATTTGGGCGCAAAGCTGTGGAAAATGGAGCCCTCATGATGTGGCCAAGCGAAGAAACAGACCATGAGAAGGGCAGACAGAAGAAGGCTGTGAGACATTAGGGAACTGAAAGTCACTCAGTGGACCAGGACTGCAGAAAGGGGATGTACTGGGCGGGGAGGGGGGGTGCCAGAGGAAGTAATGAAGATGGGTGAGAGTCTGGGAAATATCCAGGAGCTAGGTCATGGGAGCCTCCAGGCCTGGGGGGACCTTGGATTCTATCTATAACCAAGAACAATATTAAAGGGTTCATAATCACACAGTGGCCTATCGAGTTTCTGAAACCTATGGGTTTCAGAAATCCTTGAGGGGAGAGAGTTTAGATAGATATCGAGGTGGTAGATAGTCTCACTGCCCCAATTTGATCATTATACACTGCGTACCTGGATCACAGAATGACACTGAACAGCCAGGTGAAGGGGTGTATCCACCATTCTAGCATTCAGGAGACTGAGGCAGGAGGATCAAGAGTTTGAGGATAGCCTGGGACACATAATGAGATTCTGTCCCAAAAATAGATCATACTGTATCTTATAGTTATGCACAGTTACTGTGTATGCTTTAAACTTTTGGGGCCTGGGGGAGACAGCGAGATGGCTCAGTAGGTAAAGTGCTGTGCAAGCCTGATGACCTGAGGTCCAGCCCTGAGATCCACAGAAAGATGTAAGGAGAGGACTGGGTCCATACAGTTGCCCTCTGACCTCCACACTGAGCCGTAGCGCACGCACGCGCGCGCGCGCACACACACACACACACACACACACACACACTAAATAATAATAATAATTTAAATCATTCAAGCATATTTACATTTACTTGGGGTGGGGCTGGGGTAGAGAATGTATGCACCATGCTCATGAATGTCCAGGAAGAATCTAAAGATGTTGCTTCTCTTCTTCCACCAGGTGGGTCCTAGGGATGAAATTCGGGTTGCAGCCTTGTTGGGAAGGCCTTTATCTGCTCAACTACTTCACTGGTCTTTGCTTTCCTTCCTTCCTTCCTTCCTTCCTTCCTTCCTTCCTTCCTTCCTTC